ACCACATATATACCCACACTTAAACAGTCTTTCCACTCTTCACACCCACACCCACACGCACACCCATACCCATCCACACACCCACACCCACACCCACACCCACACCTACACCCTAGTGTGGGATTGTGCATAATTGATTGTTTTCGAGCTTATCATACCTTAAAACACTTTTGATGATGTTTCTTCATTGAATAAACATATATTTCCACTTATATAAAAACTTAGTTTTTTTCGAAAAAACCCCGGCACGAAAGGGTTAATAATGCGTATTATTCAAGTATCGTTTGTATTGATTATATTTCTTTCTGCCATATTACATGAAGTTAAAGGTAGTTTAGCTAGTGAATTTATTCAGGTTCTAAAACATCTTCTTCGATCAAAGTGTTCTTGTCCTGAAAATGAAGGCTGTTCAAAGTGGGGTTATTGTGGTCGCACAGATGCGTATTGTGGTGATGGTTGTCAAGCAGGTCCATGTAAAATTTCATCTAAAACTATACATACTAGTTTTGACATAACACCAGAAGTATTCGCATGCATATTTCCAAATATTGATATTGATCTACGTGTTCGTCGTTTCAACGGTTTAACAGAAGCTATGAAACAAATGAAATGGAAACCAATAAATAGTACAGAAGCAGCTATATTTCTTGCTCATGTTTCACATGAAACTGATGGTTTAAAAATTCTTGCTGAATACTGTTCTAAACAAGACAGTAAGTGATAAAGACATTTTTTTTTGCCAAATGAAAAATTCTCTTTTTTTTTGTTTTTTTTACAGCTTGTAATAATTATCAAACATCATGGTGTTCAATTGAAGCTCGTCCAAATATGAAATATTACGGTCGTGGATGGTTTCAATTATCTTATCCATGTAATTATTATAATGCTGGAAAAGCTCTTGGCCTTGATTTACTTAATAATCCAGATTTAGTTAGTAAAGTAGATAAAATAGCTGTATCAACAGCTGTTTGGTATTTTAAAGAAACTGAGATGAATCAATTAGCTGAACAAGATAATTTCGGTGGTACAACTCAAAAATTAAATGAATATGAATGTTCTGGTAAAGTCGGATATCATATGCAAGCAGAACGAATACAAACTTATCATAGAGTACGCAAATGTTTTGATCTTTCAGAAGCAACAACTAATCTTACTTGCTAATCTTATTTTTTTTTCGAACATTTATCTTACTTTTGTTTTTAATTATACGTACTATTTATACAAATAATATGAAACAAAATGAGATCTGTTCCCTACATTTATTATAACTTGTGACAGATTTAGAGAGAATGAAATATTTCTAGAAAAAGAAATATTGAATTGAGAAAAATTTTCCCGAATATATGAATGATTATGAGACTTGTTTATTAGCAATATTTGTAATAAAGTACTCCGAAACGAAGACGAAGACTGGATTGGCTTAAATTCGGGTGTGGGTGTGAGTGAATGTGAAATGCACATGGAGCGACCATCTACACTAACACCTTTCGAATGATAATTACTGTAGAAAAATTTTATATGCTGATGCAGAATGTCATTCTCATGGACATGGTTTCATTCAGTTTAACATTGATGAAAAATAAAAATTTCTGCTTTTTTGATTGTTCGTGTCATCTTTTCATAAGAGACTTTTAAATAGTACAAAACCTTATTCGCTTAAATAATTCTTTGATCAAAAGAGCAAATAAACATAATAAAATCAACGATGACTTAAAAAGCCACAGACAACAAATAAACTGAAATGAAACAGAAATGAAAAAAAAAGTCAAACAACAGAGAGAGGAAATAAACATGTCCCAGAGCAGATACATGAGCACTGTTGTAATAGAAAACAAATAGTGTTTGAAGAAACAAGACAAAAATTTTATAGTATCTAAAATAGTCTTATAATAAACAAAAGATGATGCAAATTTCTTATGCTGTTCAAGAGAAATCAATCACTTAGGATGTAACTTGCATGCATCACAGTTTTCGAGGCCATGTCCACTACCGCTAGCAAACAGATCAGGTCTACTTAGTGGATCACCTTTCACATGGATGAATTTGATTGCACCTTTTTCAATTCTAAAGAGTGAATGATCGACCATAGTGTATGTTCCCGGTACGTGAGGTTGAAAATCCACCACGACACAACCACCAGCAGGTACCAATGTTGTCTGTATAGCCTGTGCTGGTGCTGAGACGAGATCCGCTTCTCGCCACACCCTATCCCAACATCCACTGATAAGATGAAAAGAAGAGACTAAGTTCGGTCCAGCATTTACAAAAAAGATACGGATATTATCGCCTGGTTTGGCTAGCAAAGCATCCGCTGATAGACCGATACTCTCATCGGTATGTTCAGGAAAAGTGTAACCTTCTGCTCCTTTTCTACCATTGAACAGCACATAGGTAGCTTTTTCAAGCATTCCTGCTTCGATATCCATGTCCAATCGACTCAACTCTTTCAGTTCATTTTCTATTTTCTCCCTGTTTTTCTCTTCATCAGGGCCTATGTATACAACCGGCTCCGTTTCATCTATTCTCTCACTTGTGTATAATTCAGCTTGAACAATGCAGTATTCTCTCTGTGCTGGAGGCTGTAATCCACCCTCGGGCTCTACCAACACACATCCATACATTCCCTGAGCCAAATGCACGGGAGCAGGTGCCATCGAGCAATGGTAGAGAAACAGGCCAGCACGTAATGGCTTGAATAGAGCAATCTTCTTTTGTCCTTGATTAACAGTCAATAATGAAGATCCACCACCTGGACCTTCGATAGCATGGAAATCAATATTATGTTGCATACCACTTTGATCCTTGTTAGTAAAATGGACTTCTAAAACATCACCAAGGCGTATTCGAATAATTGGTCCAGGTGATCCACCATTGAAAGTCCACCAGTCAAAACACGACTCTTCATCAATAGGCTTGGTACGAATGTAAGTATCCATATCAATGCGTACTCTCACTGGACCATCATGTACTATTGGAGGAGGCATATGTGGAGGAAATACTATTGGATGTTGATAAGACTCGATATCATGAAGATCTATTAATGGTTTTGATGTGTCTGAAGCTTGCGGGTTGCGCGCTGAGTCAGTAGGATTTTGATCTGCACTCACTGCGGTATTCGCCGCCTTATCAGTCAAATCAACGTCCGTCGACTTGTGATGCTCATCTTCTTTTTTCGATTCGTCTTTCTGTTTCCTCCACAAAAAGAAAATGGATCCCATGAAGACAGCACCAACACCGATTAGAGCAGACAGTCCTATGTAAGTATGAATAGTAGAAAACTGAAAAATTTTGTTAGAAAAGGAATATAAGATATGGATCTGCCCGAGTAATCGAAGGCTTAAAAGATTCACCCTTTCCAAAAATACCAGAAATTCTTAGAGATCAACAGTAAGAACTACGAAAACAGAAGTTCTCAAAAGATACTCTATAGTAGCCTCTTGAATGTAACCAAGATCGGCTGACCAATCTATAATTGACCTTACTAAAAACGGAATAAGAGTTTGATGTATGTAACTAACCATACTTTTGTAATTCCCACGTTGATCATGTGTAAATTTAGACCTAGATAGTTGAATGTTTATGTGCGGAGTATGTCTAGGCAATTGAGATTCTGGTCGGTACACATTTTTAGAAGAGCTAGCAGCATTCATTTGTCGGCAGATGGTACCATGGAAAACACGACGACTAGTCAGGCGCAATGCAGCCGATGACATCATAGCAGATGATTTAGATCTGAAAAATCTGATATTTATAACGCATTGTACATGTACTATCACTGATGAAAGATATATACGCCTGGGGAAATTAGTTATAGTTAGTTTTTTTTAAAGATGTTTTACGTATAAGGATATATTTTTATATAAATGATTCCATATTCTAATGGTACCCCGAATTATCTATGAGCCTCTAAATTAATGTCTCGACTTGCACTAATCTACTAGAAAACTATTTGAAGTAACATAACAGCGTCCCTTGTCCTCGAATTTCCATAAATCCTATTGTTTTCTTTTCCAGTTGTTTTTTCGAGTTAATTGTTACTATCAGAACATATTTACAAAAAAAAATATCAAGTTCTTATGCACTTTAATCCGTATTTATTCAGGTGAGATTTGTTTATTCCTTTTTATAATGTTTTCGTGAACCTACGTTATGATTAATACGGAGAAGATTACAATTGGAAAATAGAATATTATTCAGCGAGGGTACATTAAAAAATATTCGAAACATTCATCAGTAAAGTGATTACAAGTCAAAACGAGAAGAGTACAGAGTGTTTCAAGCAGTTTCATCCTATTTCCTTAATTTTTTTTTGTAACTATTTTCCTATAGTAATAATAAACTCAACAAAGAAAACAACTGGAAAATGAAAACTTTTTAAATAAAAATTCGAAAACAAAAGTGTTTTCATTGTACTCAAAATATGTTTTCAGTAGACCAATGCAAATCAAGATATAAATGTAGAGCCATATAAAGAATTCCAAGCACTACCAGAACACTAGATTATTTTTTTTATAAAAACATAGCGTTATATTGAAAATATCTTAAAAAACCCCAATAGAACCAGTTTTTGCAGGAAAATCTATATATATCTAGTCGTTGTACACGGAAAAACTTGTAGTGAAACTCCGGGTGTTCTTCTAATACTTTAAAGTAGATTAAGTAGGAGAAGAAATTGAAAGAGTTTTCATTTACTGAAATTTGTCGTGTGTAGACGCATTTCAGACTAAATACTCATCTGAATGAGCGAAAATATATATTATCAATTCATGTCTACCT